GCAGTGCTGGGTTCGTTCCTCAGCACCACATAAAAATAAAGATTTTGTATCCACTGAAAACTGAAAAATAAATATTAAAAAAAATCTCTCTTTAAAAAAAGTATATATGTATATATTTTGAGTTGTTGATAGACCTTTTATTTTATTTACTTATATGTGGTGCTAAGAATTGAACCCATTTCTTAACATATGCCATGCAAGTGTGCTACCACTGAGCCATGACCCCAGCCCCAGGATTTTAATCCTTTATATATTATATGAAAATTGTAGGGGCTGGGATTGTGGCTCAGTAGTAGAGTGCTCGCCTAGCACGAGCGGGACCCAGGTTCGTTTCTCAGCACCACATAAAAATAAAGGCATTGTGTTGTGTCCATCTAGACCTAAAAAAGAGATAGATAGATAGATAGATAGATAGATAGATAGATAGATAGATAGATAGATAGACAGATAGATAGAAAGAAAAAAAAGAAAGAAAATTGGAGGGCCTAGTACAGACTTTGGTCTCCTTTTTATTTTCTACTTTTTTTTTATTTTTTTGATGGGGGCATTTTGTTTGTTTTGTTTTTACAGTATGGGTTGTTGACCCCAGGACACTTTACTACAAGCAATAATTCCCAGCTCTTCATTTTTTATTTTGAGACAGGGTTTTAAGTCCCCAGGCTAACCTCAAACCTCCTGCTTCAGCCTCCTAAGTTGCTGGGATTTCAGATGTCTACCACTATGCCCACCTTCTAATTTTTACATAGAACTAACTAGATTTGTGGGACTTGGAAAAATAACTCAGAGCAGTTCTGTGTACTTTTTGTCCTTATCTTTCAATGTCCTCATTAATAACATCTTATTTTTTATTACAAGTTCTTTGTTTTTCTTGTGCTGAAGATTATACTCAGGGGCTGGGGATGTGGCTCAAGCGGTAGCGCGCTCGCCTAGCATGCGTGCGGCCTGGGTTCGATCCTCAGCAGCACCACATACCAACAAAGATGTTGTGTCCGCCGAGAAATAAATAAATAAATGTTAAAATTCTCTCTCTCTCT